AGGGTTAACGCTGACTTTTTAATGAGGTTTAGCACAGTGATAGCTTCATATGGCCATTAGTTTATGAAATAATTAATGTTCAGTGCCGGGAAGCCTTCGAACAATCATCGAGGATTTACTTTGTCTTCTATTTCGCTGTTGTACTTCCTTGATTCTAGTGTTAATAGCACGCCATTAAAGGAAGCAATTACAAGGTCCAATGTCATTAAAGAAAAAACGATGAAATACCAGCAGCAATGGCTCTGAATCGAGTGGCCCACACGGAATCGAGGATCATTTGGCGAACGTTCGAATTCGGACGAGAAAAACGAGCGAAATGTACAGAGGTTCCCCGCAAAAGCATCGCAATTAAATTCGATTTCTCGAATATGTCGAGGCGTTACGAAGAAAAATGTGTTAGGCACGCGATGTAGGCAACGGCTAGCCGCCAATTTAAACTTTGAAGGGCCTGCCGAATTACTCGAACGCGACTTGTAATTCGAAAAATCAGAGAGAAAAGTACGGACCTGTAGATTTCAGAACCCGAGTCTCGAAATTGCAAATCGAAGAAAAAGTAAAATTAAGGAAAAAAGGCCGGCATACTCCAGATATAATTAAGAGTTTCGTTGGGAAACTAAAATCGAATTTCTAGAAATGAATGAAGCGTTATTATTTCACAAACGTAACATTCTGTTATTGTATCGATAACTACAAATAGCGGATCATGATCGTAATTACTTGCAAACGGATTAAATCGATCTTCGTTTACGTTATATGAATTAGGAGAAAAAAGATCATCGACGATTCTTTTGGTGGACAAAGCTGGTTTACCAATTTAGTGAAAAATTCCCCCGTAAAGAAACAATTTTCCCGAGATATTGTCAAGTTTACAGTACAATGCAATGTAATAAAAATCAATGTTACTACTCACACGCTCTAACGCAAAAATTGTTTTTCATGAACGTCCACAATTAATTCAATGAATTTCTTGCTACAGGTGTACAGACACTCAATAACTATATTGAGAAATAGGCTGTCAGTTAACATTGGTACTGAAAAACACTTTTTACATTCGTTCGTATTTCTTTTATAAGAATGGGTGTAACTTATTTATCGAGCCCCGTAATATGGACCCCGAGGGTCACGATGACCCAAGAAAGGAAGACACCGAAGGGTAGGCACAGGGGCGAAATAGTGAACGGAATGAATTTCGTCCGTCGTGGATCATTACGGTTTCCGGTCCCTCCCCCGGAGACGGCGTCTTTAATGAAGGTTGACACAGATTTTGAACGAGCACGAAGGGCGGCCGAGGGTGTTTCTGTATCCGATAAAAATCGCGTCGCTGTTGAAACGCCTTCCTTCATCTTGACCTTCTTTCCCGAGCCGAATCAATCCGCCCTCTGGTATTTTCCATCGAAGTATACACGAAACTCCTGGGATGGCCAACTTTTCTATTAAATAAACACTCCCCGCCACCGTCCGCTGTCGGTCCCCTCAATGAAAACAAAAGAAGTTCCGTTCCTCGTGTATCTATTTTCGTTGGACAGCAATTTCGCCGGGGACTTGGTCATTTAGTTCTATTCCAAGTCCGTCCGCGGCTCCCTATCGGAAGAATAAAGTACGAAGAAACTTCTTTTCTTCCGTTGCTATTCGAAGAATTCAGTGGCACACTTTGACGTGCCCGCTGATTCTGAGGTAGTATCGACAATTTTAATAGCGTATTCTGTATCTGGAAAATGTGACAATGGCTCCGATCCATTCTGTAAAGTTTTGTACTTTTTAACCCTTTATTGGTGAAATTGAGGTATTGTTACTTATTACACAAGCCTTGCTGTACACAATGACACATTGTTTTTGTTAGTAATTTTGAAGAAAAAGTATTGTATTTTTGACATCAGCGCATCGAAATCGGTGAAAAAGCCAAACTTCTAAATAATTATCTACCTAAACTTTGATAATAATTTTTTTACAAACGGTGATCCCCAAACTTCACAATTCTACTCAGAGTGACGATCTTGACAACGTATTGAAAAATCATCGAAATCGGAGGGGGTTCATTTATTGTAAATATTTACCAAACATAGCCTTGTAAGAAAATTGTTAAAATTGGGTTTAACAATGCATGTGTGAGTTTGATTACTGGATGGATGCCCCATGATTTTTTGGTGTACAGTTAAGTATTAAGCGAGCACTCGTTTTATATTCATTATTATTTTATACTCTATTGAAGTATAAAGTACGGAGTTTCCACCAGCAAAAATAAAATGTTGACGGGGTCGGTTCATTTAACTTTTAACTGAAAACCCCCGTCTCTCGCGAACTTCTAATAATCGAAACCGGAAACTTCTATGCTTCCCTCATACCGTAATTTCTCGTTTGGTTCCACGCACGGCGTATCGCGGGGCGAACTTTCTTCTCGGTTACGGCAAGAAATCGCAAAAATTTCTTCGGACTCTCATCTCAAAGGAATTTCGGAAAAAGTTCCGGTCGCTTCCATTAAGCGATGAACCTCCATCACGTTGCTTATTGTGCCCGTTAAAATTTGGGATCCGAAAGGATTCCCAACTATCGTAGAACCCAGAACGGTTTCTCGTCGTTTCCTTTCATTTATACGAGAAACGTCATTTCCCGTGTGTTCAATCCTTATTTATAAGATATTTCGATTTGATGATAGTCTCGGAATTGCGTGTATGTGAAATGTGACAATTTCAAACGGAATAAAAGGTGCATTAGAATTCGGTCGCTGGCTCGGTGATTCTCGTGGATTCCTCTTTTCTGACGGAAACGCTCCCGTGGTAATCTGATTCGCCGATGAAGCGGTGATCGTCACCGTTTCATTAAATTGTTTTACGGTCTTGTTTACATTCGAATTCTTCGTTATTGATCGAGTTCACGTCGGGACCGAGTGAAGCCGTTAAGTGTTCCCAAGAACGATTGAAACTTTAGTTCCTTGTTATTGGAATTCGGATGCTTATCCAATTTCATATTTATCGAAACTCTCGGTCTTCAGCTAATATTTTGGTAATTATAGCATCTATGCCTTCCTGTAAATCGTATTTCTTAATGTATTTATACATTGCATAATATATTAATTCAGGAAACTTATTATAGTGTATCTGTTTTTTTCTTTGTTGTTAAAAGTCTTCACTCGTCATTCCTCGCGAGTATGTTGTAATCTCAAACAGTAGGATACGTTGAAAGGAAAATATGAGGTCTCCCTGGAATTAACACAATCTCTCGTTCCATGGAGCTTTAAGCCGCAAATTTCATTACTTAATTAAAGGTGCATCAAACGGTTAGAATACTCTACGGTGCTTCTTTATGCCCGGTGTGCATTAAAGATATGAATTACTTATTTCATTTCACGGAATCCGGACGGCCTATTTCCGGTACAAAACATTACAATAACATTTTCCACTAAAATTTAATAATCCAAAGAATATTATTAATAGGCTAATGAAGTAAACAAATAACATTGTTCACAAAATACGTTGCAAATAATGTTCGTTTGTTCTTCATTAATTATATTCGATCATCAAACAGTATTTATAATTCCATGTAATTTACATATCAACGTGTTTATTATTATGTAAAATAATACACAAGAAGCAAGTGTGTACATTCAAGGTATAAACAATTTTCCACTGAACAGGAAATCGATCAGCGTATAAAGAGCTGATTCTTGACAGTCAAAGCGTTTTCCCGCATCACGATCGGTCCGGTAAGATTACGTGAACACCGATCTCCGTCACATAAGGCCTCAAAGTGAACGTGACCAGTACTCAGAGACCCCCCTAAATTCGGTAATCAGACGTATCCACGTGCTGGAGCATCACGTACCGTTTATCCACAAAGTTCTGCCTCTGTGTATGCACCGATCGAAGAGATTCGAGGCTTCGATCTGGAACAGGACTTTGAAGTGATACCAAACCAACCGTCTGACACGATAGAAACCAGAAGAGTTCTTACATTTTACAATTCTGAACTGATATCTGCATCAACGAATAGATTAAACACTTTTTGAAGTTTTTATTAACCTTCGTGCAATCTTCAACAAACTGTTGCATTACTATTCCTTGAATTAAACTTGGTCTAACCTGAAATCGGATAAAGAAAATTCACTTACATATCGCTTGATCGGTATTATGCAAACTACAAGTATCAAATTAAATTACAAATTTCTCCGATAAAGAATATAATTGAATGGGAGTTAATAACGAGAGTGTTTATGAACAATATACAAGGTTCCTATTTTATTTCACCCCGAAAAACAGCGTTCGAAAAGCTGTTCCGTGCCTCGAGATCAAGAAAAGAACAATAATTTACTAAACACTACCAATCTGACCAGAATTAAACAATGGACACAAATTTAAAAATACCAAATACAGAACAATAGGGACGATCAAAGCAGACCGTTTCGCGATAAGAATGAAACGAAGAAGTAAACCATACCAAATATTGTTTCCGCGAGGAAACAATTTCTATCGCAATAATCGATCAACGGGAACAGTAGAAAGAAACCGGCGAGAATTTCACGAGAGTCACCGTGCAACGCGTCGTAAAACTGTTTTGCGGCTTTCAATTTTATCTTTAAAAGCCACTGGCGTTGCACCGTAGAGAAACGGGGGAGCAGTCGAAACAAGAACGGCTATTGATTCCGTGCTCGTTGCACGCTGGAGAATTGCGATCGTAGGGTGAGAGGCAACATTAAGCCGGCGAAACATTGTAAGAGTGGATGGCCGGATATCAATTCCCATTGCGAAATTTTCGTAAGTAGTTATTCGCGTCGCGGTGATGTTCCAGCGTCCTTTCGCGCGTGGATACGATCCAATCGGCCCTACGAGCACCCCAGGGCAGGGGGCGACTTTACGCCAAACAAACCATAACTTTCACGACGGTTCTCCTGGCAGTTATCTGTGAAACACGCACTTCTTCCTCGTAAACGCGTTGTAAAGCGGTTAGTGGCGGTGAATCGGGACGCTGTACTCTAATAACCGTTCCTTCGTCGATTATTCGAGACGATGTACACATTCCTGTTCATAGTGTTCGTAAGTGAATGTACGTACATATGTACATATGTATATCGTCGCGCGATACCACCAGTTTGAGTAAAGTAAATATCGTAAAAAGGATTTGAAATTGAATCTTAAATGTTCGACCACATGAAGTAATATGATTGTTTGAATAAGCAAAATTTTTATATTACGAAACGGGTTCTGTTTCAATAATGCTGTTTTAATATGGAAACGCTGAGGGAATGTGCAAAGATTAATTAAACGATGTCGTTTTTCAGGTTGTTCAGAGAACTCTAATATGGAACGAAGTCTGTTCGCCGTTTTCATCGTCCTCGGTTTGTCGATTACACTGCCTGAAAGTCACGGAGCATCGCGACCAATAAAAATCGGTGAGTCCGAAATTACATGAAAACGAAAATACTCGTTGGATGGATGAAATTTTTTTTTGTAATGCAATCACAAGATCGAGTTAAATATTTAATCGACCTGTGGATCAGCGAGCGGCCAATCAAATCGCTGAAATATAAAACCGTGTGCCGGCCGGGGTAAAGCAAATTATAAACATTTACAGGGAACTTTGAAATGGAATATCGAAAATCGTATTTCCATGTGGGTGGTTTGCCTTGTAAAAGCAAAAAAGAAATTTCTCCCGAATTTCTGCGCAAAAATTTACCTACTTCAACGAGTACAGTAATTTACTCTTTTTATTTGGAACTTGAAAAAAACAGTGCGATTCACTTTATACGGTAACTCGTTCAAGTGTTCATACACTGGATTTGCAAACAGTTTCCAATAACGCAATTGGCACGATTTACATTAAATACGGTTCATTCGCGAATAGATGTATTTTCAGAATGCTGCTATATTTATTTTTATTTTATTACTTTATTCTGTGGTGGCTCCTCCTGTACTCGTCATTAATTTATTTTTTCTTCGGGAAGGATAATTCATGGCAGAAAATGAGCGTTACATTTCCGTCAATCTAATACAGTACAGATTCCATGAGAGTTAGAAACTCGCGTCCGTTGGAACTTCCAACGGATCTTCCGAAGGAACTTCTTACCCAACTCTCATCAAGTTTTTACTGTAACAATACTTTATGTTGTTCTATTCGCAAGATTTATATGATGTACAGTTAACACTTTCAATATTCTTACAGAACCTCATTAGTAATGAATCATTACTTAACATTAGCTCTATACTTCTAATTTACCATCCTCAACAACACGATCATTTTTACTATTCGCTTACGAGTCATTTCACACCAAGCAGATCACTTTTGTACACGATGTCTGGGATTCTGCTCAAATTGAAATATGTTATAGTCCATGTGAAAATAGGGGGAGGGGAGTTAAGTCATCACTTCACTGATTTCGAAATTGTTTAAAACATACAAATTCTCAAAGTTAGCAATTTTATCTCGACGAATGGAAGGGACGAAAAGAGTGCTCGCCGACACGTTTGAATAGAGTAGAAACCATTTCTGTCGTCCCTTTCGTCGACTCGAGGTAATTCGTCAGAAGAAATACTGGATCCGATAGCGGAGCGCCCGCGCGTAAATTGCATGTATCTCGGGAGGGTTCGCTGCACGGAGGAAGCAGCCGTAGACAGTGGCTGTGTTTGGACTTTATAGGCGTATTACAGGACTGCTCTCACGAAGTCACGTACGTAGCCGCGGGTTACCGAAGAAGTGCGCGTTTGTCATAGCGCCGGGGCTTAGCAAAAGCTCCCCCTTATGAAAATGCCCAAATATTTAGAGAAGAACGGATGGGTTTCATAAGAGGTCTGTTCTAGCGTATGCAGTGGCTGCACTTACCATGACATGTACACACACAGAGAGACACCGGTTGCACACATTCGTACAAGTATTTCCTCGACCGTGAACGCGACGCGTACGTTGGATATTTCGTTGAAAGTAGTCCTGACGGAAATCCCGTGAGATACAGGGTGTTCCTGGAACTATTGTCTGAAGCTTTTGACCTTCGATCATGGACTTCAGCTAACGTTGAAAGGCGTACGCAAACCTGTGGAGAGTCACGTTGGAGGGGATAATGTAGAGCATACATTGTAGGCCATTGACGCCTGAGCTTTATACAGCGTAGCCACATTTAATGTGTGATCTTTGAGGGAGTAGCTTTCATGACACTGTCCAGTTCAAGGTGAACTGTGAATTATAGTCCATTTGAGAGTAAACGTGACGTAAATGGAAGAATCGTTTCTGAAGAATTGTCGATTTGAGAGTTCTACTAGTGAAGACTTAGATTCAGATGACACTTTTTCTAATGATAAGTCTGTATTCTCATCGAAATGAAACGTCTGTGTTTCATTGTCACTATTTGTGACGAAAAATTGTGCTAGGATCCATTTTTGTTAAAATAATCTTTCAAATATATGTAAGATCGTAGCATAGTAGGATAGGTCGTATTGGGCCCAATATTTACCGATCGAAGGTTCGCAACGCAAAAAGTTTTCGAAATTTTAGAGAAACCATTGAAACGCCATCTATCATTTTTATCATTAATTGATTAATAATTAATTGAAGTGTATAAGTATACTCGCATTGCAGAACAGAATCTTTATACTCCGCCGGATTCTAACGTTTCACCGTTCGCGAATTGTAATGAACGTGTCAAACATAATTACACTTTGAACGATGTTTCAAGATGCAAGATAATGAAAAGTTATACACCGATTTATCACTGTCCTCCCTTAAAATTGCGACAGCGTCTCGAACGTGTCCGACGTAGCGTAGATAAATAGATCGGTGCCCGGGCCACGGTCTCGAGCCTCCCACGCCCCGTTTCAAGCTCCCTCCGTTCGCCCAGCCGAGGCGAGCATTCCATGCGGCTGACTATGAATGGGCCATTCTACTGCTCCAAGTCGAACCCCATTCATCAATAGTTCCCGGCACCGAACGACTTTGGTACAAATAATGAAATATTCCCTCGTGATATACACGCCGTACCAACGATTTATTTGGCAATATTGGGAAGCATAAGCAAGCTCGGTAGAAGAGACATTAACCTTCGATATCGATGCACGGATTCCACGTTTACCGTTTCATTACTGCGGTCATGTCAGATCGAAGAAGATATTATACATACACTATTAAAGAAAATGTTGGAAAAGAAGTGGAGAGAAAATATGTAAAGAATGGAACTGTAACATTGCCAAGGAAAATAGTTAAGATTTTTGTGTATACAAATATTGGTTTGACATTTGTTTCCCTCGATAATTGACAGTTAAAAACTGAGAGCAGATGATAGTGCAGTTCGGGCTGCATTTGTTGGAAGTAGAAATAGTATATAATGGTCAGACACATACACGGGAAGAAAAGTTGTAAAACAAAGGATTAATAAAGAGTAGAGTTAGTAAAATTAATGTGAAGTATAGTAAACAATATTCGGTTTATAGTCTAGAATATCATTATATTAGTATAAAATTATATCTCCACAGTAGCGAATGATAATCGCCCATTTCTTTCCCACGAATCGTTTCGTATACTCTGCACAATGTTGCATTATTTAAAATTATAAACGAGTGTTACCATATACTGTCGGAATAATCTGGACATTCGAACAGCAGTGCCCATAAACGAAGTTAAACTACAAGCGAATGGGACGCATAAACGTTCATGCGAGGCCTGTTCCCAGCGATTTTATGAGCTCGAGTCGAGCAACACGCGACTCTCACCCTTTCCAGTAAAGCCGGTGTTGTTCACGAGAATTCCCGGTCATTCGAAGGGTTTAAGCAACCCTCGCAGGCGATCCACTAAAATTTCCAACGTAGCAGCGCGACGCGACTGTAAATAAGGATCATATTCACATACGACGTGTCCCGCGTATAAAATTATAAACCGTGTGTCCGGCGACCGATTGGGCAGCTTTACTGGACCGAACCATAATCTCTGTTGAACGTATCGAACAAGCACCACTACGAAACCCGTCTATATCGTTTAAGAAGCTTAATCGTTTCGTTCTTGTGCAAACCGATGGAATTATTAAATTGACGCGACAGAAAATTGTATTAGCTATATACAGGGTGTTTCCCAAACTGGTGGAACAACTCGTGCACTGTTCGGATCAACTTAACCCGAACTCAGACTTTGATATTTAATTATACTCTTTGTTGGAGGAAACTGTAATATACGCCCAAGGTGATCAATAACTGATGGTACAATCGGGAAGGAGATACATCTACATAAAATTTTCTCATATAAGGTTCGTTTTCGAGAAAATCAACTTTGAAATTTATTCTGAAACCCGTGTATTCAGAAACATAATAGATTATATTACAAAAAACAGAAATTGTATCCATCCGATATGTTCCTAACAATGCTACATATTTCATTAAAATGTTTTTTTGATACAGCCAATAGATAACGAGTTATTGTAGATAGTAGTTCATATCGGATCACCCTATAAATTATTCGAGCATGAATCACTTTCTCGAATCCATAATGGAAACAACAAATTAATAATTCATCGATCACCGCATTTTTCTCGGTCGGTATCGCGGCCAACTCAACGTCCTCACGTCGAGCAGCAAAGATCACGAGGTTGTTCATTCATCTCTCGCTGGCACAGTCGATGTTTATTGATACGAAACCAAACGGCGTCGTGTTTGAAGCGGCGAAAGTTCCGCCTCAAAAGAGCCCTCTCTCATAGAAAACGGCTCGATCGCGTTTTACGGCAAAAGGGGTTGGGGGGTAGGAGGTCGCGGCTCGCGCGAGCCAGAGGCATTTGAAAGATCGTCGATTTCCTACGCTCGAACAGCTTCGCGGCTCCCCCCAACGACCGGAAGAGAGTAGCATCGGAGAACAGGTAGCGACTTCCTTTCGCCCTGATACCCCCCACCCCTCACCCCCCAATCATGGGTATAGAGGTACCACTCTTTTGAAGCGAGAGCGCGCGGCATGCCATCGCGAAAATGCCCTCCTTCTAGTAAGTGATTACTTCCCTTTCAGACGCGTAACCGGATCGGGTATGCGTGTGCCGCTTCCATTCACCCGGAACGGAAGCGGGAGACGCCTTTTCATTGGCGTTTCCCGTAGAAAACCGCCTTTCCCCTGTCCGTATGGCACTGATAACGTTATTAGTTGTTCCGATCGATCGAAGACGCGATCCCCGAGACAGTTAATCCTTCGCGGTTCGACTTTATCGTGTACGTGGACGTCTATTAGATCTGATTATTTTTTTTCTTTTTTACGTGACAGTTTGTAATGGCAGTTGTAAGTACAGTAATTTCTCCATGAGAGCGACGAACTCGGATCCGTATCGGAGCATGCATGGCTAGGTGAAAAGTTTGTCAGTCCCTCATAAATTGTTTTTGTCCGAAACCGTGACTCTGCGTAGCTTGTGTTTACTCTGTTTTGATTGGTTCCACGGCG